GGGAGAGAGCTGGCGGGGAGGCGGGAGCTGCCAGAGGGAGGGCTGGAAAAGGCCACAGGGCAGCCAGCGAGGAGCGCGAAGGGACGATGCACTTTCCCAGAGGGGCTGCCTGTCTTGCGCCCGAGTTCTCCCCATCCCTCCAGTGCTAACGCCTGAGGGGGGAGGCTCCCACATTCATCCACCCACAGTGCCATGAAGTGAAGAAAGACAAGGATGAGTTTATCCCACAGAAGGGAATATTAGGTCCTTCCCAACCTCCTCTAATGGAAGGAAGTCCAACAAAGTCTCCCTGTTTCATCTCGTATGCTGGAAAAAGACGGGGAACATCTCTGTCAGATGCTGTGTTGCCCCAGCACAGAGCACAAAGCATGGCCTACCCGATGGCCACAGGGGAGCAGGCAGGTGGGTGTTGGACATCCCGTGTACCTCTTTGCTACCCACCTCTTGGCTGAGCATCAATCTTGATATGCCCCTGGCCTGCGCATCCATAGGGGGCTATTGTGCTTCTGCTTGAAGCTTGGTTCTCCGAGGGATTGATCTTGAACCCTTCTCCTTGACACCACGCTATATGGATGCTGCAGCTCTTTTCTCTTTTTGCTGCTTTGAGGCTCACAAAACTGTACAAAATGGAGACAGAAAAGAAATATTGGGTCACCTAGTCCATCTCATAGGCCCAGGGAAGATTGTTCTTCACTTAATGTTTCCTTTTCCTCTGATTTCAGCAGGTCACTTTCCCTTGGTCCTCCTCTGCCTTTCTTTTCTTTTCTGAGTCTCAGACTCTGGTGTTCTTTAGGTCTATGTTCAGTTGAGTTAGGGATAATATCAAAAGCAGTTGGCTTTGCATTTGCAAAATAATCAACCAGTGCCACTGGCTGTAGCTTCATGTAAGTACTTGAGATGTAAGACGGTGGCAGATTACTGTACATACGCTAATGAATAACATCAGAGATTCAAACCACTACTCTTGAAGGAAGCTAAAGGCACAGGTGAAGAACAGGGCATCACATTCATGATGCAGGAGCATAACATATGCCTTTAGCAGCTTATATGCGACTCCTACTTACTCCTAGGTGCATGCATTGGTTGCTAAATGTGTGTTCCTTTATGAGAATCATGCCCAGAAGATGGAGCCTATTCCAGTTCAGGCAGGGGTAGGGATCAGGCTGTGGGGTGGCTGGTAATGGTCCCTGTTTAGATTGAGATGGCAGTTGTCACTTTATCTCTCTATTTAAAGAAATAGTTATCTGTATGGATAGGTGGGGTATAAAGTCCACCTTTATATCTATAGCACTCCTCCAGCTCAAAGCACTCTACAATTGCCTATGAATTCCTGTAAATGTCCCCATGAAGCATAATTGTATTCTTCTCTTACAGATGTAAAAAAAAATCAAAGAAAGCAACTGGTCCAGCTTACCTAGGCGGGAAGTTTCAGACCCAGAATTAAGATCATGAGCAACAGCCCGGCTTCACTGCAGAGCACTTTTCTCTCAAATGTCCTTTGGTAAGCATAGCAGATCTGAAAGCTACAGACAGGTACATGAAGTTTAGACATTCAAGGTAGTTGTGAAAAGCATGTTCCTATAGGCAAATAATTTATCTTTCTGGTTGCAAACTACTTATCTTTCCCCATTCTACCCGCCTCCAACCCATTTCTAACACATTCTCCACAAAGTCCTGCTGTCTTCTTTTTTGTGTCCTTTCCTAGTGGCCTTCCTTTCTTCCTGTTCACTTGCTCTCACAAAGTTCTTCTCTCCATCCCTGCAGCTGTGTAGTTCAGGCTGACTGCCACCTGCCACACTGACAGCTGATGATGCACTGAAAAAATTCTGAAAGAAATTATTTTTAATATTATAGATGTTAGAACAAGAGAAGAGATAAAATAGCCATGAATGAAGGTGGCATTTTCATACACAGACGGTAGGGTGGATACCTCATCACAAATAAAATGGTGCTTCACAGCCTTATCTCAAAATGAGAGTCTTGTTATAATCCAAAATATATCTGTGCTAAAAGACACATAAATTTTCATTATCACCCACATTTTTCCTCCTGAAGCCCCTAATATACATGTTGTTATTATTAGCATTTTCAATACACACTTAGATTTTTGCCTAGGCAATTAGTCTCATGGTACTATTTGCAGATACAAATGGTACAGCAGCCGTCCCATACAGATATTGTTGAAACCCAAAGAGACCCCATCCCAGTTTATCTTTCTTACAGTGAACCCAGTGTGTCCTAGGACAAAATGGTAGGAGATTAGTTGGCTTTATGTGGATATTAATGCCATGCAAATAGTTTATATACTTTGCTAGGGATGCTCAGTGACTCAAGTTAATGAGTTCCATGGTAACCGAGGTCATACCAGATGCTTTCCCAAACCTTCCCTAACTAAATACAACCAAGCTTTTGCAGGATAATCAGAGCTTCATGTTTAGATGATTTATAGTGTTCTGGGACACTAGGGGATTCTGAGTACTATCTACCTGAGCAGGAGAAGGTAATGATTTATAATTAGCTTATGTGTTCTCATTGTAATGTCTAATAGTGGATTAGAAAAATGCTGTGGAATTTGGGACACAGCGTTCTCACCGAGCTTTCTGATGTTACTAGGCTAAACCCATAGTGTTAGCATAAAGTCGTGGCAAAATCTACACCAGGATTCTGTGGCTCAAGCTTCACCCTAACTGCACTAAGCTGACTTTATCACTTTTGTCATTCCTATTTCTAATTGCAAGAGAGAAGCTCAGGCAGCGAGTTTCTAGAAATCATTGTGCTTTTCCCAATACCAACCAAATCAGGTTATAATTGCCAATAAATGTATTACCAATTGTGTCTTACAGCCTTTTTTTTTTTTGTTTTAAACTGGTTATTTCTTCATAAGAACAAAGGAGACACAATTAACTGAACTTTATGTTAATGTCAGCATTTTGATTAGCTAAACCGATTAATTCTACAGTAGACAGTTAACATAGAGTGATAGTGGGGAGAGACAGAAGCAAAGATGAAAAGGGATTCAGGGAGAAGATGAAACTACAGATAGAAGGAGTCAAGGGGAAAC